GTGCAGGGTCCACGCAGAGGCTCTGGGAGGGTGAAAAATGCCCCCCCTGGAAATTCAAGAAGTCTGGAAACGGGCCTGCGTTAGGTTTCCCAGGGATGAAATCCATTTAAAAAGGGGGGGGGGAAGCAAAGTCCATCTTCCATAATAAGTTCTTTTTATTTAGGAAAGCATCAAATTGGCAAAGTCTGTTGTAATTCGGGATCTGACCCATCCCAGAATTACACCACATACTATTGGAAGTTAGAAACAACCCCCCCCATCCCCGCGCCCCAAATGTCACATTCCCTAATAGAAATAAATCAACTTTTGCCTGGTGTCCTCCATCTCCACCTCCAGAGTCAGCTTTGGTTCCCACGGGAAGGAGAGCCACCTAGCCTCAACAACTCTCTCTAGCTCAGCAATTCTTTTCCAAACATTAAGTCAAACCTTGAAGTCTTCTTTCACTCTCCAGCATCGCCTGCCTGGCTGCGATGAACCGCTTCAACGATTGCCTTCAGATGGTCAACGCGGAGGTAGAACTCGACAAGAGCAACGCCGACCTCTTCGTCCTGAGGGCTCGTCTCTTCGAATACTTCGGGAAGGTTGGGAAAAAACAACAACTGCCTGATGGTCCTTTGGGAAAACTTTCTCTCAGCTGACGCCCAGGTCGTCCTTGAACTGACGGCCCTTCGCTTACCGACAGATTCGAAGTGGCCTTGAAAAAAAAAAGCGACCCTACGTGGCATCCCCAGGGCCATGGGGGTCAAAGTTCAGGGCAGGAGGTCCTTGGTGCTCTCTGAGCTGGATGGTTTTCTTGCAGACATTTCACGACCCAGCGACGTAGCGTCGTCCTTGTTAGAGGGAGTAGGATTGGGAGAATGGGACTGTGAGGTCCTTGGTGCTCTCTGAGCTTGGTGATTTTTCTTGTAAACGTTTCATGACCCAACTAGGTAACATCATCAGTGCTAGAGGGGAATGATGGAGGAGGAGGAGGAGGAGGAAGGAAGGAAGGAAGGAAGGAAGGAAGGAAGGAAGGAAGGAAGGAAAGGAAGGAAGGAAGGAAGGGAGGGAAGGAAGGAAGGAAGGAAAGGAAGGAAGGAAGGAAGGAAGGAAAGGAAGGGAAGGAAGGAAGGAAGGAAGGAAGGAAGGAAGGAAAGAGGAGGAGGACTGTGGGGTTTGGGGTCCTTGGTGCTCTTTGAGCTTGGGGTTTGTTTGGCAGACATTTCATTACCCAGTTAGATAATATGATCAGTGCTAAAAGGGAGTGGGGTTTGCAGAGGAGAAGGAGGAGGAGCAGAAGGACTGTGGGATCCTTAGTGTTGTAATGACGAGGCAGTCGAGTTGTTTGATCACGAACAACTGAATCATGATTAACTTTATTGGAGTCTAATCTTTGTAAGATGTGTGGAATGTACTTCTGGTTTTAATTGCCGTACTGCTCCTTCGGGATTTCCCCCTCCCCTCCTGCTTATGGCAACTCGAAAACAGGCATCGGATCGCTTTACGAGTTGACACACCCTGTGATTTGCTTGAACGCCGGCGTCTGCTTTGCTCCCTTTCCAAAGGCAAGCTGCTGCTTTTGCAACATCCAAGAGGCCCTGGCGTTGGATCCAGACCACGCGGAAGCCCAGCTTCTCTTGAGGAAGATGACCAAGGAGGCAGAGAGGTCTAAAGATTGTGCGGTGACCCTGGCCATCAAGGGCAACCTGAAAGGGGCTTTGCTGAAGATCAACCGAGCCATCAACTACAACCCCTTGGGTGAAAAGTATTTCCTCTTCAGGTACCTTTGGTCTTTGGTCTCACCCTCTTCAGGTGTGGTCACTGGGGTTTTGGACTTCTGTGCCGCAGACCTGCAAGAGGGTGTAAATGAGACAGGTGAGGAGAGGAATGCTGGGAGGGAGAACAGATTGGAATGACATTTGCTGCTCAAAAAGACCACCGTGAGAACTGGATCGCTCTCAACCCCAAAAGTTGGGCTCCTTGGCCCGGGATTTTTCTTTGGGGGGGGAGGCTTCCTCGGGGGACTGAAATTATTTATATATTTAGCATACGGCACCTATAGAAGTCAAGCAATCACTGATATACAAATTTAGTTTAAATAAAGCATAGATAGATGATAGATAGATAGAACGATAGATAGATAGATAATGATAGATGATAGATGATAGACTGATAGATTATAGACAGATAGATAGATAGATAGATAGATAGATAGATAGATAGATAGACAGATAGAGATAGAGAT